TTCTTAATCAGCCATTTTTACAAGAGACGCCTCAACTACATAAGCCTCATTCCCCGATACAAGCCCCCTCTGTACAATGACCACTTCACACCGAACGTACTATATACCTTCTTGATCTGTTGCTCAAATTCAGATAACGTCTAACGAATGAAATGACTACAATAAGAGTTAAGTTTTTTTGCAACTGTTCAAATTTCTGATTGAAAATGTTTTGAATTGTTGCCTTAAAAAACAGTACAGTCTCTATCAACCATTTTTCCTTTCGTAAAGAAATACAAGGCAGAAAGTGCGAAAATGAAATCACAACGGCTTTACTAAATTGGGTTTCTTTATCCCCAGGAATCTTTATCATCAGACCCTCGAAACAGCCTTTCGCAAATATTTTACAGTCCTACTGTCTTAAGCAAATTGAAGGATGATAATTCACACTCTTTCTTCCCTAGCAAGGTCAAATGGTGTTTCAAATTAAAAACAAAATATGAAAACATCGTTTTCTATCAATGAGGTAAACCAACATACCGTCATTGTCTGAATGGTTCAAAACTTTGCTAAGTAAACTGAAATATGTCGTGATGAGGTTCTGGCAAGCAGTAAATACTTGCGGCAAACTCTGTTGCGGAGGCAAATTGATGTATTCCAGTAATTTTAAACTTTGATGCCCAACATCACCATGCTCGATTGTTAGATACGTCATCGTGGCCCAGTGCTTCTGAAGACAATCTTTCAGCTTCATCCTAAGGGGCATAATGTAACACGTGAGTGCAAGATTTTATGCTTGTGTTATTGCATCTAATTTCCATGCATATTAAATAGAGATCTGTTGCGAGTATAAAGCTTTGATGCTCGCAACAGCGCCCCCTTTAGCTTCTCTTTAGAAAACTGAAAAGATGAAAAGCTACTCATTCTATACCATTCTTTCATTGTCTATTAATGTCTTAATGAGAAGAGGAGTTTTTCTTTATTTGACAAATCAGGTGCCTCCTATTTTATTGTTTATTGGCATTTCCAATTGCATCTCCAACACCTGCATCTGGGTTTTTCTATACAAAGGTTTTTGAATCATTGCCAAACATTTATTAGAGAGATGAGTGTTGAATGAAAACAGCCTAAGGCCAGGTATACACAGATATGCATTCACAAAATATAATTATGCACCTCAATGACATAGAATCAGAACTTCTGCATCTACGCGAAACAACATGTTTTAAAAGGACTATATTTTCAAGAGATTCCTTTCTGGACGGCGCATCAAATGAATATGTTATCTGCAACAAATATATTGCTGTTTTCTTCTAGACATGGCCAAGGCCATTTTTAAAATGTTGCTGCCTCATACCAGGGTTGCCAACTGGCCTACTTGGAGGCCAAATTTGAGAACTCTGGCCTTTTTTAGGAATGTTTGGCTACGAAATTTTACCTTTGGCCTCCTGCCTCCTTTTGGCTATTTTTGGCCTCCTAAGGGAATGTTCGAAAATGAGATTAAAACCCCATAAAATCATAAAATGGATAATCATAATATGTCCATGAACCAGACAGACACTTGAGGTGGCATTGATTTAATCCAAATGGATCAGATTGATTCATTCCGAATGGATCAATGTCTGAATTTCTCATGTAACGACGTGAAGTCATTGCTATAGCTTATTTTTTCAATATTTGATTGACTTACATTTCGAGTATTTCCTTTGATAACTGGGCCTACGATGAAAGGGGGGCCGAGTGACCATGCCCCCCACTTTCCTCCAAAACAATAGAGCTTTTTTCAAAATCTCATGTCATGGCTGTTAAAGTTTCCTCCCTCTCCTCCCCTTTTTCAACCTGAGTAGGTGCTCGTAGATAATTCATTTTAATAGAATTTTCAAACAATTTTTGGTGGTACAAAACTTTAAACGTTTTCGATCTATGTTCTAACGTTTTAACTCTGAAGAGTTCTTGACTAGAAGCTTCAGTATGACTCAAGTGCTTGCTTTTTACAAACCCATTTTGAAATAGAATTGGCAATTTTTCACTAATCAATAACACACATAATCGCAGAGATTGATCTACCGATTTGTAAAAAGTTACAATAAATAGTGAATGATTATTTAATTCTCAAGTTTCTAATCTATGTCGACCAAGTGGCAAGGTAGATATTGCAGTGCAAGGAAGTACAAGAAGTCTTAGGAAGCGCAATATGTCTGGCTAACAGAGTCTGCTGATGGAAAGGGCAACGGACATACTGCAAACTAAGCTTAATTTTTATTTCACCTGTGCTATGACGGCATTGTGTTATGAGTAAATTTGGCCTATTTTGACGTGATTTGGCCTATTTTCATAAACGGTTTGGCTACTTAGTACCCATACCACCTGGCAACCCTGCTCATACCACTCGCGGTTCAGTGTTTACTGTTAATCAGTGTGGCAGTATCACTCACGAATTATCACAGTTAATTTTTTATAAATACGACATTACCAGGGCTCAAAGGGTCAATGAAAACTTCATATTAAGGCTTCTATGAACGAGAAGTTACAGAAAATCCAACATTACGCAAAACATTAGAGCTCGTGTTGTAGTTGTGTCATACAAAGGAAAAGATTAGAGAACAATCATATACAACGATAGAAAAATAATTGTTGAATGCAGAATGAATTAATCAGAATATCATCTTGATGCCATTGAATTAATTGGGACATTAGAAGACATGTCAATCGAAACAATGTATCAATAATTCAATACCTTGTGGATTCCAATTTGCCCGATGTCTCCGTCTGGACAATGGTGATGCAATTCTTCAAAGCGTTGACGGTCTGAAGTAGCAAAATAAAATCAAGTCTGAAGTAGCAAAATAGAGTCAAGTCTGAAGTAGCAAAATAGAATCAAGTATAGGCTAAACCAAAATATTCTCTGCCAGGCTAACAAATCACACAAACAAAGTCATGATCTTTCAAAGATATATTTTGATCAAATACTCAACATTATCGGTAAACAGGAATTGGGCGGTTACAGGAAAAATCTACTAGAATAATAAAAATTTTGGAGCGAGGCTTTTAAGGCCCAAATAAAGACCGTTTTACCTGGTCGTTTGTGTATTTTGACGTAGGGGAACAAAGCTCATCGATAAACGTCGAGACGATGTCATCCAATATCTTTTCGTTGTTAACTTCCAGCTCACACTGAAACGCCAACAGGTTGGAAAGCTGCGTAGAATGAACTTAACATTAAAAAACTCTGGTGATGTCATGTATTTAAAAACGCTTCCAAAAGTTAACTTTCAGTATCTGCTATCGCAACTACATTCTGGAATTTAATTTTCAAAAGAAAATAAAACTTGGCTAGAAAATAAAATCTAATCGGCCCATTGCCTATCTTATGACATCAATTTTCTCATAACGTTCTTGAACGTCTAATTTGGTTCAGTTTCAATAGGCCAGACTCTGCACAACTGTGTGAAAACTGAAAAACTGATACATTTTGACATGGCTGTTTTATGAGTAAATGATGAATTTAAAGGCAATCGACAGATACAAAAGTCACTTAAGCCACCAACTATTAGCCAATCAGTAAGTGCGATACCATCCAGGCAATTGATTTAAGCTACTTTAGAATCTGTTGACTGCCTCTAATAGAACAGACAAAAGTTTTTGCAGAAATTTCTTGAAATTTCTTGATTTCGTTGGGTAAGAAGAAGAAGAAAAGAAATATCGCAAAGATGAAGAAATGGGTTGAAATGACACTATTCACAAATTATAACTGAGATAGCAATAACATCAAAAACGATTTAGATAAATAAGAAGTACAGTTTCGACACATTTTATTTTGAATCTATGGCAATTAAACACCTATTATACATTACAATTATACCTTACACACCCAAAGACCGAGATACAGCTTATTGTTTGGGGGGGAAGCCCTGATAAATAAGTGTAAAAACAGCCATATCTTATAAAATAAAAGTATTTTACTAATACCAGTTTTTTTTGGGGGGGGAGGCCAAGGCCCCCCGCCCCCCTCGGTATCTCGGTCCTTGTACACACCTAAGGTAGTTATAATGAAAATTACTGTCTACCTGTCAGCCAGAGAGCGCTCGATGTCAAATAGGCAGGGCTAAACACGCTTAGATCAGTCGCATTAAGCGTTGAACTTGGCGTAGCAGCTTACAACCGTCCTGCTCTATGCATCAAAATCATTATATAGCTGGACAGCACCCTTGTGAAAAACGTTTGGCCCAGTGGAATGAGCATTGGTTTCTGATGCAGCAAAGTGGAGTTTGATTCCGGCAAAGAGCAGAACGATACAGCTGGGCATCGAGCGCTGTATACAACAGACTAGTTCACGTAAAACATTAATTTACATTATTACTTATATAGGCTTACGTTGGTTTGTGATTTTGATTTAATTAGCAGAAAGATGAATGCATCAGACGAAATCCCAAATCCACCATTGATGCACAATAAGGAAAGTACCCGAGTGAACAGATGTGACCTGAAATCGACAAAATATCATTGTTAAAACGAAGAGTGTTATTCTAATCAACTGAATTTCAGTTGAGGTAATTAGCGACTAAGGTGATCCTGATTCGAAGGGCTAAGATTTATGTATTTTTATCTGCAAAATATCAAAATAGTATCATAGAGCGCAAACATATCAAGTAAAGAATATGTACTTGATGTTCCAAACTTTTCAAATCATAAAATATCGGATGATGACTTCGAGGTATGTGGAAACTTATGTCTAGATCTGGAATGAAAGTAACGCGGGAGGAAGAGCGGGACGTCGATTGGCTCCTTGCTTTTATGAATAAGAAGGCTACATAAAATCAAATCTGGGGTCTGTTTCTTTTAATAGCAGAAAAATCATGCCATCTAGCCTTTAAAAGCCTGTCTTATGGCCTACCTGAGCAGGGCCGCGAAGAGGATTTATGGGCCCCTGGTCAGGACAAAAGATAAATAGTAAAACATGCCTAAGGAGACGCTTCTAAGGGGTACGGGGAATGCTCCCCCTTGAATTTTTGAAATTGATTATTGCTTAAATTGCTTTGATGGCTAAACTGCCTTGGTGGCAGTGGCGTAGATAGAGGGGGGTCAGAGGGGGCAAAAAACCCCTGTAGAGCTAAACTGCTACATTATCGGAAAACCTCTGGTCTTGTCGGAAATTTAACATGGTTGCCTATGTTTATCTAACTTCTATGTTTTTATAGGAAAGAATTTAAAGCTAAATAATCATAAGAATATCTGAGTATATCAAAAAATTTATTCATCACAGTTCCGAAGTCGTTATGTTATGTTAAAATTTATGAAAAATATAAATGCTTGTTAGATTTTTGTCGAAAAATCTAAGTTGCTCACCCTCCTACGAATTTTCCTATCTAAGCCATTGTCTGGTGGCTATTTATTACTTCTGTTTGCTGTTTGATATAATTGGAGCACAACTGAAATCTTAACACCATAATGCATAAAAATGAAAATTTCTTAGAAATTTTGAAAGTCTTAGAAAATGGGAAATGTTTAGTTCGTTAACTAAATTCGATTACAACCGACACACTGTTGCAAATAGATGCGCATGCCAAAGTGTAAATCTGTATGACATACAATTTGCTTTATGTTGCCCTGTTGCAATCACATTTTCTAGTTACATTCAGAAGCTCTTCAACAGTAAAGATAAAAAATTATCAACAAAAATATGTTTAACATTTAGCTAGGCAGTCAAAGACTCAAACTGTTTCTACCTGACTTCATTCATAGACTTTTGTCACTATTGTCTCTACTAATGATAATGTGTGGTAATGGATAGGTTGGATTATCACTTGGAAATTTTTTTAATTGAATTGTTTTTTATGGACTCCTCTATAGCCAAGGGCCCCCAGATCAGTGACCCCCCTGACCCCCCCCACTCTCCTCAGCACTGTACCTGAGTTCAGTTTCTGACCGGATCAACTCTCCACACAGCTTTTTCATGTGCTTTTGCAAATCTTTTAAAAAGGGGCTTTCTAAAACAGCTTCCTCTGTAGCTTCTTCTTCATTCTTTCTTTGATGTAGTGAGTTCTGAACGTTCTCATGCAAATGTAATAACAACATTTCCTGCAAGCAAATAGAGGCTGTGATAAATAAAATAAAATTATCTGTTGACGAATTCTCGACTTGATAACTCTAACGTAAATATGATACCTAAAGTCTCAAATGGGGAGACCTGTTTTGAGGGGATAGGGGTCTCAATGCAGTTTGCTAGAATCCAAAGCATAGTCAATGTTATACAATCGGTGGTAGAATTGGCAAATAATCTGCATCAGCACAAGTTTATAATCTTTACCGACGTCATTTGTGTCGTATTTACAGAAAAATATTAAGTGTTTAAAGAGATTAAACGAGATTAGGAGTTTTGGGTTGGAGAATAGGCTTGCCCCCCAAATATTTGACCAAGTGTTCGTCCCTGTTTATCACTTATACATAAAGAATCAGTTAACTAAGCTAATGAAGCTTACCAAACACAATATGATATCAGAGAAAATACTCATTCAGATAACTAAATAGCTTTATTAGTGACATATAATTGGAGAGATTTTAGTTTTGAAACTTGCTAATGAAAATTAAATCCGATACATCAAAATATTCGTCTAAAAATTTCTTCTTTCCGATCAAAACTTACGAGGAGAGTGCTGGCAATCCTTTTTCTTTCTGTGTAAATTTTTGCATCATCTGCCAAAAGCGATAATATATTGTCATTATAATGAAATATTTTGATCTTCAATTATGCACTTTATAACTGCCGTTTATTAAAACTATCACATGACCTGGATTTTTACATTGGTGATATTTACTATAAAAATTGAGGATTGATATCATTGGAGATGACAGTGGGAACGCCCGGCTCAAATTTTTCAATATACTGATGCCATATCTAGTCATAAACGGATGTAAAATAGCTAGGTTTATTCAAAATAACTGATTAATTAAAGCACAAATACAAACCTCGAGGAAGAGTTTCATCCGAATAACACGAGCTATCAATCAAGTACAACAGAACCTTGGAAGTACCCTTTCCAATATTCTGCAATATGTCGAGCACTCTAGACACCAGCCTGAAAGATATATAGATAAATTAGATAGATAGATGGATAGATAGATAGATAGATAGATAGATAGATAGATAGATAGACAGATAGATAGATAGATAGATAGATAGATAGATGGATGGATGGATAGATAGATAGATAGATAGATAGATAGATAGATAGATAGATAGATAGATAGATAGATAGATAGATAGATAGATAGATAGATAGATAGATAGATAGATAGATAGATAGATAGATAGATAGATAGATAGATAGATAGATAGATAGATAGATAGATAGATAGATAGATAGATAGATAGATAGATAGATAGATAGATAGATAGATAGATAGATAGATAGATAGATAATAAACAAACACAAGGATACGGACTAGCACATTCACAGTAAAACTACTAGATAATTTTGCAGGAAGAAAATTGAACAGGTATCATCAATGGTTGGAAATCTTATCAAATATCGAAGGCCTTTTAAAGTTCACCCTATTTCCCAATTAATAACGTTGAACAATCATTTGTTCATAATGTAAAAGATAAAGGCTAGCCCGTATTCGATGTTATTCGATATCGAACGTTGGGGAATGCGCTGTTTGGGGCACATAGTCCTGAGCCACGGCATTGCGTGGTCATTGTGTGGTAGGGTGGCAAGCTCCTTTCCATGCCGCTTTTTACCTCCCTTTTTACCGATATCACAGAAAACAACAACCGAATCACGAGGAAACCAAAAAACGCCTATTTACCATCACTCGACGCATTTAAAGACAAGGTATAATACTATTCTCAGACTGTCCCTTTTCTTGTCTGAGTGACTAGTATTGATCAAAATGTTACCAAAATAAGGCACATAAACCTGTGAATTGCACTTGGTAAACAACTGAAACATTTGTATAAGCAAATACTAAAAAAACAAAGCAACCTTAAGGTGATTTTGCTTGAAAATGCTTCACTATAACAGAGAATGATTTCTCGGCCTTGCACGACGGAAGGCAAAAATCCGATTAAAATGTTACAGTTGAATAGAAACTACGAAGCAGTAAAACAAGACATACCCCCGCTGCAAAACTGCTTCTCGTTTATTCGACTGTTTATTCAAAGCAATGATTGTCTTCAAATCAACTTTTATAAAAAAGAAACACCATGTTAACAAAGGCTACACGAAATAAACTAAAAAGCAGGTAAGCCTGCACTTGAAGAGGGCAACGGGAAAAAAGCGCCAAGAAAAAGTGGAAAACAAAAGTAAAGCGAAGAAAAATGCTTGATTTTGCGAGGGCAAGGAGGTCCACTGCCCTCACTGCCCTACAAAGTATTAAGGTGTATGCAATTAAAAAGTAATATGGTAAAATGAAAAGTTTTACTTCGATAACATTGCTAAGGACGTAAACCCCATGAAAACTTTAATCATCGACATTATGTTCACCAAAGGTGCACAAATATTGAATTGCATTCTTAAAAAAATATTCAACGTACGAAGGTCAGTGACTTTTTCAGATATCTGATCTACAAGTCTTGGTGCATGAAGTGCAAGATGCAACAGAAACGGTAGGGTACACTTGTCGATGTGTTCTTGGTCTGACCCAGCTTCGACACTTTCAGCTGATACACTGTCCTACATAAAAAGTAGAATAAAATCAACCCCTTTCATTCAAAAGCAATGCTAAAAATTAGTTAACGCAATCATTTTGCAAAACAAGAAATCTAGCTTCTCCAAAAAATGAAATCCAACTTCTCCAAAAACAACGTTGACGTTTTAGGCTAGTTGTCTGTATAGAGCAAACATATTGTTTCAATGTTATAACTTATATTTCTGCCTCGCTTGCAAAGAAAAAAAAACAAAAGCTACAAACTACTTTACCCAAACTAGATGAACGAAACATCTGGGGGCAAGTAACCAGACAATCTCATGGTCAACTCACAGGAAGATACACAGAATATAAGAATAAAAAATGGTTACAAGATGGGTTTAACAACAATTGATTGTTACAAAACGGATTTTCATTTTATGCACCAAAAAAACTGCTAATATTTTGTTCTTATTAAAGAAAGCATCCTTGAAAGGCAATCTTTCGTGAAAATTCGTTATTGTTGCAGTAAGAAAAGGAAAGAGCTTGGCCGTTCTTCTAAATAAAACCTGACATTCTACTCAATTTTTCGGAAGCGAGAATACAAAATAAAACGAGTCTAAAAATATCAAAGAAAGGAAACATATAGTAATTAATCTTAAAATAAAAAGCATTATCATTACCTTGAAAAGGTCGAGAACTGCATTTTGAAGAACTTTTCCATGGTGATTAAGGACAAAGTTATACACCCTGGTGACACAGTTGATAATTATCTCGGCATCCTTAGCTTGCATACTAAATGCAACTAGCGCATGTGATAAAATTCCATATGGAATAACATCAAGGAAGCAGCAGCTATGACGTAATGAAAAAAGACAAATTCAAGAACTAACTTAGGTGTATTCTAAGTAGCACACATTAGATTCATGCAACACATATCAATTTTTGCAGGCAAATTAACATTACATGATTATTCCATATCAGTTGCCTGATGATCGCATTAAGCATGAAACACGGAGTAGGAGCCTAGAAACGTCCTGTTCTATACACCAAATACCTTGTACAGCTCTGCCTGTAAGGTATCGATCACAGACCGGTAAACAGTAACTATCAATTCATATGAGAGATAATTATCACCTTACCCTTAGTTGAATATCTCGTAAATGAAAGTGCTAAGACAAAAAAACGTAACATAAATGCGCTAGGAATGAAATACCATGTTTTTGTTCATATTTATAGCAAATTTTTTTCATTAAAAACTCCATAGGCTTTAGCTAAAAACGAGAAACTTCGAGAAAATAGGCAAGACTTTACAAATCAATTGAAAAAGAATTTATAAAATTGAGAAAGATGTGTATCAACTGTTGTTCTTCCAGAATGTCATGTTTCATATATTTAGCTCAACAAATGTTTTTTTAAGTTTCTTTTGAATCAGCTTTCGGAAGGATTCAAATCATACCTTCATATTCACAGGGTTTTCCAAACTGTACCAAGGACTACCTAATTTTTGTGAGAATTTTATGCTATAGCCTGAAATTTGGGATCCTTGTTCTAAAGATGTTCGAATACCCCTTTTTACGAATGAATATACAATCACAGACCTGACAATAGATACTATGCTTTGAAAATACAAGAACATGTTTGGCCGCAATATCCATCTGGTATTGTCTGAGTGTATAAACAGTGACATGGAGGGTAATTAAACCCATCGGCTTAAAATTCAACAACTTCAAAATAAAATTGAACAGGACACTTTTCAAGGTATCCGAATCACAGAAAATTTTGGAAGCTAACAAAAACCAAGACATAAAATCAGGCAGACAGCTTCTGGTTTCACACTCGCCACACAAGTTTTCGGTTACATTGTGAACTCGCTGCACACCTTTTTATGCTCCAAGCGTTAACAAAGTCTAATAAATGAGATAAAGTTTCCCAATCTTAGAAAACTGTTATTTTAAAAAACTGCGTTGGTTGATGTCAAAAACACGCACGGCTTAGGCTTAAACAAGGACATACCACATGTGGCAAATTGCCCAATCAAAGAACGGCGAACTTTTCACTGCTGTGCCCAATAAGTAATCCACACATACGTCAGGAGAGTCGTCTATTCTACAAAAACAGAATTGCGAGATAGGAAATGATATAATACCCGTTTATATAGAATATCATCTAATCAGAGCCTGGAGGTACTTACAACGACGAATCCCTTGTTGAAACTGCAATGCAATACACATTACAAAAATACTCTAAATTTTTAAATTCTAGTTAAAAATATCTCAATGGTATTTAGTTATGGCGTTGATACGGAACTAAGCTATGCATCAAACTTAAGAAAGGACAATGATTTTATTTTTCTATGATTTCCTCTTAGGCGTGTCAGACCCACTCTTCTAGTCGGAAAAGCAAAAGTTAGAAAGAATATTTAGGTGACAAAAGAAACTCCAAGCATTCAATAAACTTACATATATCCAAAACAAGTAACTGCTACTTCCATCAGAATTCTGCAGGCTGAGAAAAAATTCAAGTTATGAGAAGAGAATCGAAAAGATGTTATCTGTAATGCCATCAAAGGAGGAATAAACAAACCCTATAATTTTGGCGTCCTCAGCCTACTCCTCGAGAAGTTGTCTAGCTGAAACCAGAGGAATTCCTAGGGCTCCAAAGGAAGAACTTAACAGGCAGCTTTGAAACTTAAATCAATTCTTTAAGCAAACTGCAGCAATAAATTTTTTTCTTTATGGGGTCAGAGCTATGCTAGTTTTAGAATCTTTATGTCAATTTTAGAATCGTCAAAGAAGGAGCGTATGAAAGTGAATTGCTGATGGGCACTAAATAGTTCCCAATAGCAATTCTTTCTTACAATAACGCAAATTGACATGTTTTCTTCGGCTAAAGGCCTTACAATTAAATGAAAACATCACGAGACCATGCTGAAGTTTGAGTCACTTTTTTCCTCGTGTAAGCAGTACAAAGGCAAAGGAATCAAATGTAAGAAACAAATAGACGAGTAAATTTGAGGGGCATATCAGAGGAAAATTGAAGACAATGTCGAAAAAGTAGGAAAAAGCTGTTGTTGGTGTGCAGCTCCATAACTGGTGTGTTGCTCCATGTCGAAAAATTACCTGGGTGTGAGATGTGCCGAAATTTCTCGATACATTTTGAAAATACCGCTTGATTAAATGGAATTGTTCTGTAACTATTTATTACAAGATCGAATAAACATGGCAATCAATAGTTTTCTTTCTACGCATGAGTAATCGATTATATTCCAGCATACCTGAACAATTCATCCATAGTTCGAGTCTCTCATCTATCTGAAGATTTGACAATGCTTTGAGAGAAAAATTTTTCATAACATATCCATTCATTTACGGGTACAATATGCAAAACATTTACGGGTACAACATACTTGGCTAAAAATATTAAAAAGTGGCTGCTAACATATCTTAGATAAGTGCTTTTCCTAAAGCTTTCCTCTCATTTCTCTAAAATTAGGCATAGCTATCATTATCATATAACCTTTTAAAACTCTTAATGAATCTGACTGAGTCAATACACCCAACCTAATATAATTTTTACAGAATACAAATGTTTGCCCTTCTGTTAATTTAGACATATAGGTCATTCTTCCTCGGACTTTTCCTCCCTCCAACCTTCCAACCCTGGCCACGCCACTGCTATAGATGATTGTAGAAGCAGTAAAAGAAAGCGGCAATTGTGCTGTCATAATTTATGGAACATCTGATTTCAGTCAACAGGTACGGAACTGTTGTTGAATTTTGCAAATTAAGGTTATACAAATTTGTTAAATACGAGCTTTTCTAATGGATCAAGTCTTGGGAGAAATCTATGCGCAATTAATGACATGAACAAGATATTTTGTGTGCTTTGGGCAATTGCGTAAAGGAGGCATCTGGGCCCTAAGGAAAAATCTGCCAGAAGATCTCATCTAAGGGTTTAGAGCACCTCAAACACAATAGCAAAGTGTAAAAATGAGAATTTTTCCCGTTAGCTAGGGGGAGCTGAGTTATAGAGTTTCAGTTGAAGAACTTTAGAAGTTTTTTAAAGTTTTCTAACCTTGAGCAACGTTTTAAAAATAAGTACCTAAAAGCACATTGGGCCTCTTTTGGACAGGAGCCCTTAGTTATCAAACTGCGTTACGTCATTGGCATTAGGAAATGCAAGAGTGACTGCTGACCTTTCGACAGAAAATATAAGAAAAGGTTTGCTTCTTCTACTAAATAGATTTTGCTAATTAAATCAGATCAAGAAAAAAAGAGTATGAATTTCTGAAAATGATGTATGATGAAAATTTTCGGATTTATTTCCACATTTTGCTAAAGGGATTCAAATCCTTGCCACTATTCCAGCAGCATCATGTTCAGCAAAACGGACATTCAGCTCACTCAGGCACATAAGAACACATCTTCGTAACACCATATCTTCGTTACACATATCTTGCCTTGACAAATTGCCTCTTAATATCGAACGCTAATGTTCATACCTTGTTCTCGAAAAAAAAACGTCGATAGCTTAATCGATATATTTGGTCGCCGTCGTGGAAGAGATTCGTATTTTTCTTAATGAAAACTCGAAAGCTGTTTTGAAATTTGTCAGGTTTTAAAAATGCTAATTAGTTAATCTCGTGACGTTGCCAATCACTTCTTGGCTAATATTAGAAGCTTACATGTGAAACACTATACTCAGTAAAAATATGGATATCCCCCGCTTCTCTTACTGAACTAACGCCGTAAGCCTTTGCTTCAACACATTTTGGTTTGAAAAATAAAGCAATAAAAGTAGAATAATACAAGTAGTTGATGTGATTCAGTATTTTCACATTTAACATAAGTATAGAATGCACACACTACTTCATTACTACAAGCTCTGTGCTAACATTTCACAAAAATTTCACCTATTCTAAAATGGTTAATGAATGCATTATCGTGTACCTCAATATTGGAAAAAACTGAAAACAAACCTCGTAGGATTCCATACTGGCTACTCATAACACCAATTAGATTCACGGACCACTGAAAGATTTAGAAAAAATCACGATTTCGAGAAAAGCAATAACCTACAGGTAATTCTCCTAGGTTATAACGACGAAAACTTAACATTTATGGAAATGCATCCTCTTTCCTTCACCATGATAATACATCTACAATACATTTCTTATTGTCCAAAACGAAATTGCTTATCCGTTAAGTCATCGAAGATTTTTTGCTTTAAGGCTTTCTTCTATCTCAAACTCTTTAGCCAGACGTGGAAATGATTGTATTAATTACCCTGGCAATCATTGGAGCCCAGGCATCATGGTTGCACTCAATAAATCCTAGAAGTATCTTCTGAACTTCCTTCATCAATGTATCACTTTCTGGCATATTTGACTCCAAGAAGCCATGTTGGCCTAGCAAAATGAATGATTATTAAAACCTTCATGTGTGCTTTCGCAGGACAAAAATACATTTTTAGAATTTATAAATTTTGACCATATTCCCTGAAAGAGCATTACTAAAAAATTCTGAAAGTGCAAAATCAGTTGAATGTCTCACAAATTGGCTGAGATATGGCCACATAAGCACAGTCTCTTTCCCTTTCAAACCTCTTTAATTTGGTCTTGGTTCGCAACTTTATAAACCAGGTCAGAACAACAGTTATCCTCCGTTAGCAAACTTGAAACCTTTCATTGGCCATACCTTGCCCAATTTTGAACATATCTGACTGATACTGCATGTTGAGAGGTATTTTATGTCATTCTTTCAGATTACGTTGTCAAAATCAAGAAATTCTAAAAATAGAGCTTTGATGACGTCACTCTATTTGGGAAATTTCATACTCTAGGAAATTCTTGAAACATATATCGTATTTCTAATAATAATAATGATGATAATAATAATAATAATAATAATAATAATAATAATAATAATAATAAAGGCATTTATATTGCGCCATTTATCCACGCGGCTCAAAGGCCCATTACATAATATTCATAAAACTAATATCGTACTGGGTAGTCGTCCTGGGTATGACGTAAAACTGCACCCGGTTGTGGAGTTTCAACGTGGGAGAATGAGGTTACCCTTTGCCGCAACTACCTCCAGGTCACCCTTGGGCAAGGTGTACTACCTGTTAGCTCTCCCCGAGACCATGAAATGCCGGGTTGACATCCGGCGGGGGCTAGTCTGTCTCATGGGTAGGGGGGACTCTTTAGCCTTGGTCGGCAACCCCCCTAGTGATGGTGTCACAAAAAAAAATACCAGTTGGGAACTTGCTACAAAGAACGACCTCTTTTATGAGTGAGATGAATCAAAACAGTGATTTAGATAACAGCGTAAAGGAGACTGGAACTGATGGTGAAGGTCTCTCGCTCGGCAGGTGTCCCATGGAGGAGCAGCGTGGGCCCGGTCGTCATCCTACTACTGCCAGAACTGGATGGTCGAAAAGTATGAATGTAGCAGTAATGGAGTGCTATTTTTTGAGTAAGCCTGTAAACGATGACGGAAAACCAGTGAGAGGCTATAGACGCAGAATGCATAACATTTGGAGAGAGAGACATAGCTTCAATCTGACTGAACAGAGATTATGTGACCAAGCTCGCATGATTAGAAAGAACGGTTGGCTGACTCATGTGGAATTGGAAGAAATAAAAAGAAGAGTTACAACAGAAGAGGAAGGGGTGATAGATGATAGTAGCGTCGGAGAGGAGACTGTAATTAATGAGATACCAGTGACTGAGCCTGAAATAGAACCTGTGGTAACTTTCCTGGAGAGAAGTGAGAGAAGCGAAGCGAATACAAAAATGATAGAAGAAATTATTGAAATCATGAAAGAAGGGAACATAAGTCAATCACGAAGTCTGAAAAAGGCAGACAGAAAATCTGTGAATGAGGCTGTTAAGGAGGTAAACGACGCCTTGATAAGCATCAGAACGGAAAACATAACTGACACAAACAAACTGATCAGTGCTGTTGCATTGTATGTTGCGAGGAAACTAGGCATAGGGAAACCAAAGATAGAAAATAAAACAAGAGAACCATGGTGGAAAAGAAGAATAAGCGAATCTATTAATGAACTTAGAAAGCACATTAACATACTTGAGCGCGAAAAGAGAGGTGAAGTATCGAAGAAAGGGAAATACCATGAACTGTCAAAAAAGTATAACATCACGAGAAAAGGAATCTCTACTGTAATTGAAGAGTTGAAACAGAGAATGCAAGCCAAGGCTTTCAAACTAAGAAGGTACGAGCAAAGGACGCGACAATACCAAATTAATCGAATGTTTCAATATGACCAAAAGAAGGTATATCAACAACTACAGGGTAAAGACAAAAGAGAGAATACAACACCAGATGCAGATGAAAGTAGAAAATTTTGGTCGAACATATGGGACAACGAAACACAGCACAATAAAAAGGCTAAGTGGTTAGAGGAGTTAAAAAACAACAAACCTAATCTATCACAAAATGACATTGAAATAACAACTAGAATGGTAAATCAGCAAGCCAAGAAGATACCTAACTGGAAAGCTCCTGGCCCTGATGGAGTCCAGGGGTTTTGGATAAAGAAACTTACATCTCTACACGAAAGAATTGCTGCCCAACTCAATGATTTGATAAATGATGAAATAGAAATACCCTCGTGGATGACCACCGGCAGAACTGTGCTATGTCAAAAGGATCCAAAAAATGGCAATGCAGTGGATAACTATAGACCCATATCCTGCTTGCCATTAATGTGGAAGCTGTTGACAGGAATCTCTGGAAATGTCTACACGTTCTTGGATGAGAATGAGATGTTACCTGAAGAACAAAAAGGCTGTAAAAGAAATAGCAGGGGTACAAAGGATCAGCTTCTGGTGGATAAGACGATTCTTGCTGATTGTAAAAGGAGGCATAAAAACTTAGCCATGGCGTGGGTTGACTATAAGAAAGCCTACGACATGGTTCCCCACAGCTGGATAATAGAATGTCTAAGGCTCTATAGAGTATCAGACAATGTTGTTAACTTTATAGAAAGATCGATGACCAACTGGAAAGTACAACTGACATCGTGTGGGGAAACTCTAGGGCTTGTAAATATTCGCAGAGGAATATTCCAAGGAGACAGCCTATCACCACTTTTGTTCGTCATTTGCATGATACCCCTTACCGAAGTCCTCAGAAAAGTCAAAATGGGATATACATTGGATGGTGTTAAGATCAATCACCTGTTGTTCATGGACGACTTGAAGTTGTTCGCGAAAAACGAGAATGAAATTGACAGTCTAACATCTACTGTCAACCTTATTAGTCAAGATATAGGAATGGAATTTGGGATAAAAAAGTGTGGTGTTGTGACCTTAAGAAGGGGAAAATTAACAGGAAGTGCAGGGATTGAACTTGTCAATGGGGAAAAGATCAAGGAGGTTGGTGAAGAAGGATATAAGTATCTGGGAATAACAGAGTTGGATAGAATAAAAGAAGAGGAGATGAAGAAAATATTTCAAAGATAATATTTCAGAAGGGTTAGACTTGTCATGCAGTCAAAACTCAATGGAAGGAATAAGATTAAAGCAACAAATACCTGGGCAATCTCCCTGATGCGCTATGGAGCAGGAATAATTAAATGGAGAAAAGACGAGCTAGAAAGTATGGACAGAAGAACCAGGAAATTAATGACAATGAGTAAAGAACTTCATCCTAGAAGCGATGTAGCAAGAATTTATGTTAGCAGGAAAAAGGGTGGTAGGGGGCTGATAAGTTGTGAGTATTGTATTGAAAATGAGACAAACAACCTAGCTTGGTATGTGAAGCATGCTAGAGGCAATATTATGTCAAAAATGAGAGACCTTGGGGCAATGAATACTGAGGAGGCAGTAGCACCGAATGAACATAAGAATGAGACAAAAAGGCGCTTGGAGAAACGATGGAAAGATAAGCCGATGTATGGGCAATTTACTAAGAATACTGACGGAATTGATTGGGAAAAAAGCTGGACATGGTTAAGGAACGGAGATCTGAAAGGGTGCACTGAAGCATTAGTGTGTAGTGCACAGGAGCAGGCGCTGCGCACTAATTATACCAAGCACTACATTGATAAAACAAGTGATACGCCTTTATGTAGAATGTGCCGTGACAAGGGAGAAACAGTAAGTCATCTGGTGAGCGAATGTGCTAAACTGGCACAGACAGAATATAAAAGACGACACGACAATGTGGCAAGGTATATTCATTGGTTGTTAGCGGAAAAGTGCGGATTTGAAAGAGCCACAAAATGGTATGAACAGAAACCTGAAGGAGTTTTAGAGAATCACAAGTTTAAGCTACTGTGGGATTTTATGATTCAATGTGATAGGGTTGTTGAAGCTAGAAGGCCAGACATTGTTGTCGTTGACAAGGAAAAAAAGGATGTGAAGATAATCGATATTGCCATTCCTGGTGATAATAGGGTAAAAGGTAAAGAACAAGAAAAAATTGAGAAATATCAACCATTAAAGGAGCAAATCGGAAATCTGTGGAATATGAAGAAGGTGACAGTCATCCCTGTTGTGATTGGGGCATTAGGATGCATATCATATTGTTTTGAAGAGCACATAGAAAAGATCGGAATTGATGTAAAGTTACAGGTGATACAAAAGACAGCACTGCTAGGAACAGCCAGGATTTTGAGACAGACATTGTCTATGTAAACTTGAGATGACAGAATGGGACCTTTGTCAGCTTGTTGCTGACTGCTCCCTCCTATATTATCCGGACCAATTAACACCTAGGTGTCTGTGAATCACTTAATTAGCCATAATAATAATAAAGGCATTTATATTGCGCCATTTATCCACGCGGCTCAAAGGCCCATTACATAATATTCATAAAACTAATAGAATGATATAACATACAGTACTACAAAGAATGCTAAAAAATGTTCGTAAAAATTTCGTAAAATAAATAAGATCTAATTAGAATATTCTTGAAAAAGATGCGTTTTCAGTCTGCTCTTAAAAGATGACTCTTAAAAGCATTTTTACATATTCTAACCTGAATTATTCTAAAAGCTACAACAAAAATGGACACAGCCAGTTAATACATTATTTAATGCTGATTTCTTCTTCCAGATATGTCAAAAACTTGAAGAAATAACAGAATATGTATAAAGAACATGTAAAAAAGACAGTCTTTCTGTTTCAGTGCCTAATTGCTGCTCAGCAAGTAGCTCATCATTATGATGATGAAGCAGGGACACCCTTGGCCACCCCTGAAACCCTTTTCTTTACCCCAATAATATCCATCCCCTACCACAATAAAAAAGTATACAACAGAAAATTAGATAAAAAATGTCTTTCTTTTCAGCTTTTCATTGCATCACCATTAATAGCCTATCCCTCCACATATCTTTGCTTAAGGTCTTACGAGTAATGATAGGCAATTGAATGTTGTTTCTAAGATAATGTTTACAATTTTAGTTTAGTCTGGGAACAGTTTAATTACTCTGACAAAGACAAGCATAAAACCAAGGCAAAGAGTTTTGTTTGCATACTAAATCAGACACAAAAGTTTGGAACAATTTGTTAGTTGTTAGCAAATGCCAACATGTCCATATTGCAGATTTTATTTACCTAATTTCAAAGAAAAATGTATAATCTAGGCAATTTTATTTTTCATGAATACTAACTTTGTTCACAAACCTGAAAGCATTTGTTTTTCAACTTCAATTACATACTTCTTTGCTTCCTCACAAAAGACTTCACCAACTTGTTCCAAAACGGCTGTTGTTGCACAGGGTAGTGTTTTCAGTAGCAGAATTGCTGATTTTGATTTTTCATAAATGCTTGCATCACGATGACCATTTATTTCAAGAAATTTGTGCAAATTTTCAACGACACTCATCTGGAGAAATGAAATAAAAACTTGAAATAAGACACTGACCATATGACCAGAAGACAAAAATGACTAAATCAAGCTTTCCTTATCTAACCCATGCAGATTTCAGGAAAACATGTGATGTCCATTTAATTGGTTGGGTACACTTCATATGGCCAATCTCTATGATAAAAAACTTGGAAGATATAAATGATGTTTTGCTATTCAATATTGAATTAAAGTGACCAAATATAAATTTAAAGAAACAAGTGGTAGTGTACTTGGTTGCCTTGATCGATTTTAATCAGTAGGTGTCCTTTGGATTTGTACTTTAACTCTAAAGGGAAAGGAACTGCATAAACTAAAGAAATAAGATTTTAGTTGTTAGCAGCTGCCTTTTGGATTCGGATTTTGGGAAATGCAGCTTGATAATGAAACTTATAACCAGTACCACAACAAAAAAAGACAAAGTAGTTCTTTTAGCTTAACTAAATTCTACAATTCCTTGTTACATTTTGGTAAATGAATTCAGTACATCATGAAAATCCTATTCAATCAGACAGTGCAGGAAAAGGTACAAATACATTAATTAGACACATCCATTAAATAAACATTTTGACTCTAGCTAGAGTCATCTTCAGTAAATAAAATTACAGGCATAAAAACTAGAAGTAAGGAAAGGCTAAACAAAGGGATCATAAATCATGTGATCTAGCAGTATGCTGCAGAGGAGCAATCACGACACAAGGAAAATTTAATTGCTATTACAAATCATTTTAAAAAGTTTACAATAGCATTTAAAA